GCGCGCGCTCTGATGCTGGCGGCCCGGGTTCGGATCCCGGGAGCGCCCCGAGGCACCACTTCTCCGTCCAACGTGAGGCCGAGTCCCACGTACAGCAACTAGAAGGATGTGAACCTATGACATACAACTATCTACTGGGGCTTTGGGGGGAAAAAACTGAATAAATAAAATCTTTAAAAAAAAAAAAAGAAAATGTAGAATTCAAGACCAAAAGCATTGGATGTGATAATGAAGGACGCTTTTCGATGCTAAAAGCCACAATTCAGGATGAAGATAAAATATTTATGAACAGCTCATGGATTTATGGAACACAACACCACGATAACAGACAATATGAATTTGTCCCAAGTGCCATGACACATTCCAAAAAATAGATTATAAATTAAGGCATAAAGAAAGCATTCACAGTTTCCAGAAAGTAGAAATACTCTCAGATAACAAGGCAAACAATAAATATAAAAAACCAGAAATTATTAACAAAAATGAAAACCAGAAAGGCCCTTCCATGTGGAAATGTAAAAACCTTCTATTAAACATATCTTGGGTACAAAAGGAAATAGAAACTGAAATAAAAGAATTTATCCCAAGACACCCAGGAGACCACAGGAGTGGGCCTGAGAGATCCCTCTGGCATGTTAACACACGTGGGTACTGTTTTGAGAGGTTTGGGGGATTTGATCGGAGATGTAAAAGAAACTATCCACTCCAAACAAATGGACTGAAGGTATATTTTATCATATAGAGGAGAGTAAAGGCGATAGTCTGCAAACAGATCCAAATAGGTCACATAATAAGAGGGAAAAACATCAGATCGATGGGAAAGGGAGACACCAAATCGACTGAAGGGAAATGACACAAATCAACCGGAAAGAGAAACACCAGGTTGACCAAAAGAAAACACATCAGATGGGTTACTCACAACATCCACACCCCACTGCTGAGAGAGTCCCTTCAATTGACACGGCTAGGTGGGAATCCGATCATCAGAGGTCCTGGGCAAGGCGTCCCCCCCACAGGTGAGACTCTCACCAGGCCTCAGTTTCCAGCAGTCTATATAGCATCAGTAATTTCCAGAGCAAGCAGTTACAGAGTTTGCAGAGCAAGCATTTAGTGTTTCCATGCACAAATGGTTATCAGTGTCGTACATGCACTGAGCCCCCTGGCTATCATCCCAGCCCAGCAGTTGTGTACGTGCATTGTGCTCCCCGGGTTATCGTCCCAGCCCGGCACAGATGGCCAGTCTGTTCTGAGCTACGATGCCCAAAGAGCCTTGAAATGTTACAATTTGCAACTCTGTCTGTGGGAGAAGGGCCAGTTCCCATCACACAGAAAGCAGCTTTATATTTCTTTGTGTGCTAGTGGCTGTAGGTCAATGGAATGGCCAAACATGGCTGTAGTCATGTCAAGACAGGTACAAAGGGAGTTTCAGCCATCGGCTCATCGAGATCACTTGGGCTGTCAGACACGCTCAGGTCTGGACATACACCTCCTTCTCCCACTTTGCCATGTAAATCTGATGTTCTTCTCCAGTTTATGGTCCAGTGGATCAGTCAACACCCAGCTAAGGATGGCCATTACCAGTCCTTGTTATACGGAACCTCATAGTCTGGGGCCCATTAGCAAACCAGGCTCTTTTTCAAACTGAGAAGAGTTTTCAGCAGAAGAGAGGCTAACCTTACTCTCAAGTTCTAGGTTTCTGGGCGATGATTGTCCTCTTTGGGATTCCAGAAACCCCACAGATCATACTCCAACGTACCATTTGCTCTGTTGTGTCATATAACTCAAGTCTAAGGGAAGTTGCACTGAAACATGAACCTGTTTCAGATGTGTTATTATTGTGGCTCTAGGCCACACTCAAAATTGGCATCGTCCACGTCACGAGATCCAGGAGTCCGAGCAGCAGGCTCAAATATGGTATGTGTGGCCTCTGTAACCTGAAGATCCCCACTGACTTTGGTGTTCCTCACTTTTGGTGATTTGTCTCTCATGTGACAGGAGTTCTGTCACCCTATTCTCAGACGACCAAACCCCTAGAGAATTCAGTAACGTAATTGGCTCATGAACTCCCCCTGCATTTATATTCCACTGTCTGAGGTGCATGTTTCTGTACGCTATTTGTGTTTTTTTTTATTTTTTATTTATTATTATTTATGTGTGTGTGTGAGGAAGATCAGCCCTGAGCTAACATCCATGCTAATCCTCCTCTTTTTGCTGAGGAAGACCAGCTCTGAGCTAACATCTATTGCCAATCCTCCTCCTTTTTTCCCCTCAAAGCCCCAGTAGATAGTTGTATGTCATAGTTGCACATCCTTCTAGTTGCTGTGTGTGGGACGCGGCCTCAGCATGGCCGGAGAAGCGGTGCTTCAGTGCGCACCCAGGATCCGAACCCAGGCCACCAGTAGCAGAGCGTGCGCACTTAACCACTAAGCCACGGGGCCGGCCTCTGCACGTTATTTGGACAAAGATCAGGACTGTTGATCTAGCATTAAGATAACACAGGAACAGTACACCGAGGGGCCTGCCAAACAAAGGGAAATTAATCCTGATTGCATCTCCTGGCAGATGGGCGGAAGGCATTTGCTAATCGATGGCTGCCTGTCGGATGCCAGGAAGCCTGGTTTTCTGCACCAAGACGCCACATCTGGAATACAGCTGTGATGACCATCCCAACCTCAAGACCGTGATATTCCAAACTCACAACAACCGAAGATTCAAGTTAAAGAGCAAGGTACTTTGATGGCAGTAGTATACTAGTCTCTGAAATTCCTCCATGAGTGAGGTGTTGCTTCAGGTTTACTATCTTAAGGAACAGCTCTAGAAGCGTCCCCTGGACCTTTCCCCAACAATATGCCTCAACAACTGAGTTAGGAAACCAAAATGGCTATTTTGCTAGTTGATACGTACATCTATTCCTACTATCCATCCTGGGCCTGAAGAGCTAACCTATTTTCATATCTTTATTAGGCATATGTCATTTATAATTTTGTAAATTTCTGTGCTTAGCCTTTGTACATTTTAATGGACTTTTATATTTTCCTTTTGATGTATAAGAGCTTTAAAAATACTAACGATATTGCTTTTTTCTCAATATTATTGATGATATTTCCCAATTGGTATTTTTTGCATCTTTTAAAATTATTTATGACATTATAACGTTTTATTTTTTCAAATCTAGTTATTGTTTTATTTATATTTTTTCTTTGAATGTCATGACTTTCCCCTTCTAAGTATACAGGAATACTGATGTTTTCTTTAGCGTTTTTATGTTCTTTTTTTATGTTTAAATCTTTAATCCATCTGGAATTTATTCAGATGTGGTAGAAAGGAAGGCCATAGATTGAATCACCTCTTGCCACAAATCATCATATATTTTATTATATTCTTGTGTCTGTTTATAGACTCTCAAGGGCTTATCTGTTGATTCCAGGATTTCTCAGCATTGGCACTATTGATATTTTGGGTCAGATAATTCTGTGTTCTGGGGCTATTTCAATTATTTGTACTCATTAACTATGTTAGTTGGTGATCTGATCAGAAAGTTCTTCCTCATTCTTCCTTTACAACATTTGCCTAGCTATTCCTTGCACTACTTTTCAGAGATTCTTTTAGAATTGTTTTATTATGAGGCATAAAGTTCCTGATGCAAATGTAGTTGGAAATTTCTCTAAATTTTATGGCTGTGTTTAGAAAGACCTGCGTCTTTGCACTGAGGAGTCTTCAACCCAAGTTGTTTCTAGATCCATGAAGAGGACACCTGTCACTTCATCAGGAAACACCTGTAATTGTTCTCACATGGATCCTGCACATATTAATGCACACCATTATTTTATATATTTTTTATATAAAATATATATTTTATATAAAACTTTATATATTTTTCCATAAAATGCAATTTATTTCAATAACATTTTATTATGTATATTGCATATATCTAATAACTAGTAAATTGACTCTGTCATCAGTTCTAACAGTTTTACAGTTTGGTTTTTCGTTTCTCAAGAAGGAAATGCTATTACCTCCAATCACAATATTTACTTTTGTTCTGTTCTTTATATGATCACTGTGTTTTCTGACACGATCTTACAGATTAAAGCATGATGAACAATTGAGGTGAAAATAGACGTATTGGTTTGGTTTGGTTGTTCCTTTCAGTCAGAAGTCTTACTGGCATCAATCCTTCTCCGTATACTGCTCTCAAACACCTTCTACGAGTAGGAGCCTGGCCTGGCAGTCATTGTCTGAAATTGATCAGAGAAATTTTAGCACTTGAATAATAATAATAATAACAATAGGGGCACTTCGAATGGTGCTTAAATGAGGTCAGGGAGACAGATAACAAGCACCTACATGAGCTCATATAAAAATGAGTATAAATGCAGAGATTCCTACGAGAGCGATTAACAAAAGGAAGGGTAATGCTTCCAGGGGATGCTCCTCTAAAGGCAGAGTGAGAGAGAGCCCTTTAAACGGAGACCAAGGAGCAGAAGAGGCGGCGCCGGAATGCAGAGGGGAGGAACTCAAGAAGCTTCACTGACTTTGTAATTCATTGACTGGACCTGAGGGTGCGGGAGAGGGTGGTGCTGGACCCGCCAGGACCTGCTGCTACAGAAACTGGGGAAGCGGGGGTGCCGCGTACAGAGACTGGAAACAAAATACCCGAGAGAGGGACAAAGAATATGAATGGAAACATTGACAGGGAAAGTGCTGACCACACATTCAAATAATGTAAATGAAATCTTAAAGAAGCAAACCAGAAATCAGATCTGCTGTAAGTGCACTTCATTAAAAAAAAAAAAAAAAAAACCAACAGAGTTTGACATCAAACTAGAAAAAAATGTTTTCCCTGAAAATTCAGCCATAATGATATCAATTTTCAGTGTTGGTGCGGAAACTCTAGAGGCCGTGTCCCCAAAGCCCCAGGCCGAGCCCTGGCCTCGGGGGTCAGCAGGCCCTCCTGTGCTCCGCCCCCCCACCCCCGTCCCACGCTGTCCCGGCTCTGGATGAGGGGGCCCTCCGCGGAGAAACTGAGTCAGGACTTCCAGGTCCAGGAGGAGGACAAGGATGGGCCGCCGAGCTCGGGGGAAGACGCCGGGTCCCACCGGCCGGGAGCGCCTTCTTCTCGGAGCCCAAGTCCCGAACGGGCAGAGGTCCGAATCCCGGGAGCAAGCGGGGCAGGGAACGGCTGAGGCCAAGCACTTACACTTCCGCCCGGCTCAGCCACGTGATCTCCATCTCCGCCTATCACTCAGGCTAGGGAGGTGCAGACGGGCAAATTGCCCAATCACGGGCGTCCGGGCCGGTAGCACAGCCCAATCAGGGCGCGGGGGCTCGGAGCACCGTCCAATCAGAGCCTGGGGCGGGCGCGCTCGCACCCGCGTGGACGTCGCCCTCGTCCGGCCGCGTCCCCGCGCGCACCTGCCCCGCGCGGCCCCAGGTGTCCCGCCCCCGTCGCTCTCACCTGCCGGGGCCGCGGGGAGGACGCCCGGAGAGTCCGGAGCCGGCGGAGATGGTGAGTGCGCGGGCCGGGCCCGGACCCGGAGGGGCTGGTGCGAACCAGCCGGAACCGGCTGGAAGCGGCCGCGGGCCCGGGTCTCCCCGCGCCCCTCGGCCCCCGCCCCGAGTCCCCGCCCTCGGCCGCGGGGAGGGTCCCGGCCCCGCGTGGGGGTCCCGGGTCCCCCGGGTTTTTCCCTACTGTCTGACGTCACCAAGTCTCCTAGAATGTAAGGCTTTGAAATTGGAGATCTTGTGATTTCTCCCCGGTTTATCGCAGACGCAGGGGAGAGGGTCTGGCACGTATGATGCACCCAAGATCTTGTTCGTGAAGTGGGTGGATTCGGGTGCCCGTGGGACCGAGTTTCTCAAATGTAAAAAGCTAGGGTGAGAATCAGGGCTTCAGGTACCAAGAATGAGTGGGGATTAATTACAGTGCATCTGTCGATGAATTCCAGGGTGGAGCTGCATCCTGGGAGTACTGAGCTTTCCAATGCGTGGACTTGGTCTCTCTCTCCATTAATTTCGATCTTAACTTCTTGCAATAATGTCATACTGTTTTCATCATAAATGTTCTGCAAAACTTTATCCTAAAATCCTGTTATTGGTACGTAGAAGTAAATTCACGTCTGAGCATGATTCTCTCCTTGGTAAGTGCAAGTACAGATTTTAGTTATTCCTCTGTAAATCCTTTGAATTTTACATACAAAAGCTTATCTGCAAATAATGATATTTCAGCTTCTTTCTCCTGCTGTCGTTTTGCCTTTAGTTTGTCTTCCTTTAATGATTCACCAGGACCTCCATTTCAGTGTAGAATAAGGTATGCTGTGTCTTGTCTTCCTGAAGAGGAAACTGTCGTACTATTTCAGAATTTTCATTTAACATGGCAGTGATATTTTTATGCACTGTCTTCCCTAATTAGCCACGTTCCTTCTAATTCTAGTGTATTAAAATTTGATATCCATTAATGATAGAAATATATCAGTCATTGTTGGACATGAATTATGATTTTCTATGTTTTCTATTAATGTGGTAAAATGTATTAATTTGTGGATCAATTTTTTTTCCAGGCCCCTTGAGACTTTATTTTTTTAGAGCAGTTTTAGGTTTACAACAAAATTGGGAGGAAGGTACAGAGATTTCCCATATACCCCCTGCCCACTGGGTCAATTTTTAAACAGAATTTTCTTGCATTGCTGGAATAAAATGACCTTGGGTGATTTAGTATGCACATTATTCATTACTCTATTTAGGGTACTAATGGTTTTTTATAGAATGTTTGACTTATATTTGTTGATGATATTATATTTAATTTTTTTTCAGTTGTACTGTTCTGGGATATGGAATTTTTGTTTCCTTTGTGTGAATATTTTTAAATACCTTTTTATTTTCTTTCAAGTATTTTAAACAACTGAATGGAAGTTGTTTAAAAGTCCTGGAAGTACTGAGAATTTAAACATTTTAGATCATTCCCCTCATCTCACATTTAATCCCTAGAACATCCCTAATTATGCCTGCTTTTTCATTCGTAACTTGATTTGCCCAGGCTTTATGTTTCTTGAAGAAAACTGCCAAAGGTTTGTCAGTTTGATTAGTTTTCAGTAGATGCATTTTTAGCTTCCTTTTTATATCTCTAATTTTGCCCTTCACATTTCTTTCTTCATTTATGCTACCGCTCTCTTTCCATACTCTTGAGTTCACTGTTAGCCCATCGATACCGTTCTTTCCTTCTTTTCTGGGAGTAGATGGTGTTTCTGTTCTTGGCTGGGGACACTTTGATGCCACTGCCTCCTGGACCAGATTCCTTTGATTCCGTTGTCTCTCAGTTGTCTCTCAGTTGGTGAAGCCCACTAGCAATGGAAACCTTTCCTGAGATTTTGTGAAATCATTCTAATTCTTAGAGTTGAAGAATGCAGTGGCATTTTTAAAAAACTAGGCCAAGGTATCCAGTTCCAGTGTCACTCAGATGGTTATTTTTCTGTTTTGGTTGACCCTGTGCAACTTTATTTGCTCGTTTTCTTTCTCATTCCAAATGCCTTCACTGTCCTGTATTTTATTTACAGCACTGACTTACCCCTTCACCTGGACTATATTTGGTAATATAATTGTCCTCCCCCATGAGAATTTAAGTCTCATGTGCTTCAGAATTTCTCCCTTTTCTTTTTTTTTTTTTTTT